TGCTTTTTTGGAGCTGTGGGGAAGGGTTGGAGGATTCAAGGGATTTTTTAAAGAGTGTTGCAATGTTTGGTGATTTTCTTGTGACATTTTTTTGATAAAAAGGGGGGTTTGGGGGAAATTAAACAGCTATTGGGGGTTAGGGGGTTTATGAGAGCATAGGCAATGGGGTCGAAGAGGTAGGGGGGTGGGTTTTTAAAAATTAGTGTTAGAGTGTCAGCAGAAGTTTTTTGGTTTAAAGGGAAAGTGGGTGGGGAGGGAAAAAAGGGGCGTTGGTGGATGATGTTGAAAAGAGAGTAGTAAGGGAGAAAAAGTTGGGCATATGAAAAGGTTTTTAAAAAGTAGAAGTAAATTGAAAGGGGAGGGAAGAGTTTAGGGAAAAAAAAGAGAGATTTAAAAAGAGAGTGGTAAAAGCAATGAAAAAAGAGAGCAAATGAGAGAGTGGGGGGAGATGTTATCAAACAAATTTTTTTTTAAAAAAAAGGAAAAAAGTTTTGGAGTGGATTAACAAGTTAAGGAAACCCTAGGAAAAAAAAGGGAAATTTTGTCATTTAAAAAAATAGGAGGGAGAGTTATTAAATGGAGAGTTAAAAGTTTTTGGGAAGATGGGGGGGAAAAATTTTGAGGAATTTTTTAAAAATTTTGATGAAGATGGGGAAAAGCTGTGATTTCGTGTATAGGGAAAGGGGGAAAATAACATTTTTTTTTAGGGGGAGGAAGAGCCATTTGTGATTTGTGGGGGAAGTTCGTGAGGCAGAAAGGAAAAATAAAAGGGGGTAAAGGCACCCGGGATTGAGGGGATAAAGATGAATTTTTAAAAAGCAGGTGGGGATTTTGTTTTGGAGTGGTTTGGAGCAATTTTTTAAAATTAAATTTGTACGGGAAGGGAAAAAAGGGTTCCTAGGTTTGGGCCCAGAAAAGCATGCTTTAGTCCCTTTGGGTTAAAAAAAGGAAAAAAAAGGGGAAAAAGAGAGTGAAAAAAAATTTGGGGGGGTTTAAGTCTGCTGGTAAAACCTGGAAAAGTTTTATGGTAGGGGTTATTTTTAAAAAGAATTAAGGTAAGAGGGAAAGAATGGGGATAGCGAGGGAACAAGGAGGTTTTTGGAAAAAGGTGGGGGGGTGTGGGGGACAGGTGTTTACATGAAAAACATAAAAGTGCCCCGTTTTTAGATAGGCTAGGGGTTTCTTTGTGGCATTTATGGAGGGGGAAAAAAGGGTATGAAGGGGGGTTTTGGGGGGAAATGTGGCAAAAGTTTCCCCGTGTTGGTTTTAGGAGGTGGGTTTACGGGAAAGCAGGGGGAAGGGGTTTTTAAAGGAGGTTTGTGAGGCTCAATTTAGAGTATGTAGGAAAGAGGGAAATTTTTTCCCAGTAAAATTTGGCCCTTGAAAAGGATGTGTGTGTCACCGTGGTTGTTTAAAATTTAAGAATGGGGTTTGTAAGAGAAGTAAATGCGAGGGTTTTGAAAAAGAGGGTGGGAAAAAGAAAAGGGGGAATCACACAAAAAAAAGGGGGAGTTGTCACAGTTTGCCTTTGCTGATGACCGGGTGTTTCTTGGGGTTTCTGAAGAAAAGGGTTGCAGAGATTGGTGGATGAATTTTGGGAGGGTGTGCAAAAGAAGAAAATTTAAAAGGGAATTTCAGGAAAGAGTAAGGTTTATGGGATAAAAAAAAAGATTTTAGGTTTTATGAAAAATTGAAAATAGTTGGAGGGGGGAGAGTATGGAGGAGGTGAATGTATTAAAATATTTGGGGGTGGAGTGTCAGCGGAAAGGGTTTTTGAAAAATTTAGGTGAATCATAGAATTTTATGAGGGGGGGGGGGGGGGGGAAAAAAAAGTGAGTGGGCACTTAGGGGGCTTTGGAAAACAAAGAAAATTTGTCTTTTGGAAAAAAAAGGGGGAATGTATGGGAGTATATTTTTACCCAAAGCTCTTATATGGGGGTGAAGGGATGGGTGATGAAATTTTCCGCGAGGGGGAAGGCTGGGGGCCGTGGAGATTTCTTTTCTGGGGCAATGTGTGGTTTTGAAAATTTTAATTTCAAGAGAATTCGTAGTTTGGGGAAATTAGGAGGAGGGCCCGGGGGTTACCAAAACTGTTGTCGAGGGGTGGGGAAAAGGGGTTTTTGAGGTGGGTTGGACATGTAGAGAGAATGGAGGGGAAAAGAATGGATTCAAAAGTGTTTTCGTCTGTAGTGGAAAGGGAAAGGGGGGGTAGGGGGCGGCCTAGGGGAAAAGGGTTGGGGGGGGGGTAAAGGAGGTTTTTTTGGGGGGAGGGGCTTGGATTTTAGCGGTATGCATGGGTGTTTGATAGGAGTGGGAAAGGGGACAAAAAGGATTTTTTAAAAATTTACGTGCTGTTGGAGTGTGAGCCCCAAATAACATTTATGAAGGGGTTCAGGGGGAAAAACCCGGGAGGGGGGGGCTTTAGTCCCGGAGATTTGGGAAATACAGTGCCGCACTCTGAAAGGGGGGGTGTTTAAAGTTGCCCGTTTAAAAACTGTAGTTTTAAAGCACCCGTCTGGCAAGACAGTGATGGAGTGGGAAAGATGGTGAAAAATTTTTCTTTTTGGGCCCCCTGCCCTTTGGGGGGAAACGGCCAGGTGTTTAAAAAAAAAAAAAAAAAAAAAAAAAAAAAATTTAAATCTCCTGCCTTGTTTTTTAGTGTGTTGATAATAAGGGGGGATTGTATGGGGTTTTTCGGAGTTAGGAAAAGTGTGTTGGGGTGTTGCCGTGAGGTTTGGGCATTTGGTGGGGTATCTGAGCTTGGGAATTTTTTTTTGGGAAGGTTTTGTCCCATAGGGAGAAAAAAATCATTGGTTGTTTTCTGTTTCTGTTGGTGGGAGTTTGGGGGTTTATCTGATTTTGCAATTTTATTTCGGGTATTTCATGATATTTTTTTTTGTTCCCGAATTTTTGTTTTGGGTCTTCCCGGTATTTTTTTTAAAAACCTGTAAGTTGGATAATTGGGTTCCCCACAATTTCAGGGTTTTTTTTCCCTTCTTATCAGGCTGGTTAGGATTGACGAGTAACGGGTTTTTTTTGGTTCTGGTTATGTGAAACCCTTTTTGTACTGTTTTTTTTATTCGGGGTTTTGATTTATGGGTTGGGAATGTTGGGGGGTTAGCCCCGGGGGGGGTTCGTCTTTAGCTGGCATCTCCCGTTTTTGGTTTTTTTTGGGCAGTGCTTGTTATAGAGGTATTGGGGGCTTTTTTAGAAAAATTATTAAAAAAAATTCCCTTTAATATTGTTTAGTTTTTAGCTCGTGTGCCAGTCCCCAAGTTTGTTATGTGTTGTGAAGTTATTTTAAAGGGTGGGCCTTTTTTTGTGAAATTCCCGAAAGGGGAATTTTTTTGTGTTTGGGGAAATTTTTCCCCAAAAGGGTTTTTTTGAGGAAAGGAGGGTAGTGGTCTGTGGTTTATTGTAATTATGGGGGTGGAATTTTTTTTTTGGGGAAAATGGGGTTGGTCCAGATGTGGTCAAGGGAAAATAACACCCCGAAAAAAGGGCTTGGTTTTCTTGAAATCTTTATGGGAAGGGGGTTCCCCTTTCCCAAAAAGTAAAAAAATTCCCAAACTCTCCCCTCCCCCAGTCTTCCATACAATTTAAAACAAGTCACCAAAAAAGTAAGTGATTATGCTGTTAATGTTTTTTTAAAACTGTTCATTTTTTTGTGCATGTACATCTATATTTCATGTAAAAAAAAAATTTTTTTTTTAATATTTGGGTGTTTTGGGGAAAGGAAAAAACGTATTTTACATTTTCATGTTCCGGCAAGATAGTGATCAAGTTATTGATGATGAAAGTGTTTTCTTCTTTTGGCTCACCCTACAAGTTCAGTACATTTCTTTTTTTTTTTTTTTATGTATACTGGTAGAGAATTTCAATCCTAGGTTGAGTACTTCTTGCTCACTGGTGAACAGGGTGTGAGAGATGATTATGATTTCATTCTGCTGATGTTGTTCTATAGGCTGTTGTCATAGAGGAACTGTAGTTTTCTGGAACATATGATTCCACTTGGCTGAACACCATTACCAAAGGTGACATCACTCACCTATTTCTACACATCAAGTCTCTCCTTTATATGCACCCTTTTTATCCATCTCTGAAAACTGGTTTTGTGTTTGGTGGACTAAACAAAAAAAAATGCTATAAACAGCAAATTAAAAAAGCTTATTTTTGGTATTGATAGCTGTTGTGTTTAGATGCTGGATATCACCTGAGTGTTACAGGTGTAATGAGCTGATACTGCCTAGAAGTTTAGAGAGGCATTTAGCCAGAAGTCCAGCTAACCTGTGAGAAGCATTGCTGATGCCTGAAGTAATAAGACATAATGGTATACATCTGTATTTAGTTTGTGAGAGTTGGGCAACCGACAAGTGTATGTCAACCCGGGATGGGAGGGCAGAAGCCTCCTTCCTTGTGATGTTCTGTAGAGTGTGTTGACCTCTGGTGAGGAAGGATTCTGTGTCTTTTTAAAGGTTCTGTGTTGTGGTAGTTTCACAGGTATCAGGATACCCATGTAAATCCTGCACCTCCTTCTAATAGCTACTGTTCTTAAGTTTAACTACTCCTTTTCCATTTTCAGCTGTGAGTTAATCTTTGTTTGTATTTTTGACAAGGTTACTAAGTTATCTGTGTAATGTTTTAATAGTGTAGGGATAGTGGTTTCTTGCATAGCAACTATTAGGATTCCCCAAAAGCATCCTTAGAGGAAATTCACTTCAGTGTGTGTCTGATTCTGTAACAGAAAAAATCTCCCCGTGATGCTGCTGACATTTTCCTGTAAGTTTATATCTAACAGACTATATGAATGGAACAAGGAAGAGTTACCATAAAAGTAAAACATGGGATTTATAAAGTGCCTGGACTTGCAGTTCATTTAATGCACAGGTCAATAAAATTTAAAAGGTGAAGCTCACATGTCTTTCTAAACCAAAATTTAAAAATCACATACCATATATGCTTGAGTGTTTTCAAATTATCATTCAAGCAGTGCAACCAACCTGATAGTGGCACCTGTCGACATTCCTTTGGGGCAAGAAGTCCCACTGAGGATGGGCATACTACACTTCTTGCTCTCTCCTGATTCTGATTTAACAGTTCTTGAAATGTTATTTATGTCTAGTGGCTGAGGGGGAGTTTCAAACTCATCAAGTAGATCTTTCAAGTCGTCTGACTTCACACTTTCACTGTGGAAAAAAAGTATGAAAACAAATGGTGGCTTGTATGAAAATTATTATTTTATAAGACACCAACACCTTCCCACAATCTTTAATCAATGTGATGCTCAGCGGCAGCTTTCTTTATACCAGTACGTATATTTTTGGTGAGTTTCACGAAGGAACAAAGTGAACTATAGCTGCAAAGGCTCTTACCAAACCCAATTCCATCAATCCCATGAGGGAGAAGATTCATTATTCAGAAGTTTTTAGCTACCAAGATTAAGTAAATAAATCAGTAATCAAGCCCACTGCATATTTTCTTTCCTAGCTAAAGTTCAGCCAGATAAATAAATGTCATCCATGCACACATCATTCTTGAGTTTATAAATTTTGCCACATAGTTATGAAAGATTTAGTAGTAGTTAAAACTTCGTCATACTGGATGTAAAAATAAACCCTAGGAGTTTAGGTTAGCAGAAATCTAAAGCATCACCAGAAAGCAGTACGCCATTTTTTAATTAATAAATGCATATAAATGCCAGATAACAAGTTTACACTAACATATATTAAGTTAGCAATAGAACACAGCATTAAAAACAATAAAAAGTAAAATACACAGTACACTCATTATTTACCTTAAAATATTTTTAGTCTTAATGTAAGGTGAGAGGTGAGTAGTATTTATTGTAAGAAGTCAGGTGTGGTAGGTATGGCAGGCCTCCTGGCCAACCCACCCACATGTAATATACTACAACATTTAAAGCATCCCAGAACGATAAAATGCATATACAGTACACTCATTACTTACCTTAAAATATTTGTAGTCTTAATGTAGGGTGAGAGGTGAGTAAATGAGGTAAAATAAATAAACAAGAGAGAGAGGGTGTATTTATCATGTTTATGTGTTACATAGCATGTTTATTATATAATTTTGAAAAAAAAAATCATAGCTGGATTAATGAAAATGTTTATAATGTAACATAGGTCAGCCATCACTAATCTGGCGTCATTGGGACCTGTAGCGTGCCGGGTTAGTGAGCTTGCCGGATTACAGAGTGGTTAAGTTAGAATACACATAATACTTAACCAAGCTGAGCTGTTTCATATATTTTGGCCTTCCTTTGATTAGTTTGTCCTGAAGCATGTAAACACTCATTATTTCTTGTTCATTTACAAAACTGCGTTGCTCTAGACCTTTCAGCAGTTCACCTGTCAAATGAATTAACTTATCAGTAAAGACTCTTTCTGCTACATCTTTCTCATTTTCATCACTGCTTCTCCTCCACTGGCTTGCTTCTGTGGATTTACAACCATCTGCACAATTTCTGAGTCAGTACAGTGGACTCTCTACTTACAAGTGCATCTACGTGCGAGTTTTTCCAGATCTGAGCATCTGCTCGGTCGATTTTTTGCTTCCAGATGCGAGAAAAGTTTCCAGATGCGAGTGGGCCTCAAGGGAGGTTAACTGACACTAGTGAGGGGGCTCTTGCTCTTGATCTAGGGAACTGGATCTCAGTTGTTTGTTGGACTATCTTATTGAAACTTGGGCAATATATGATGAAAAGATGCTTCTTAACGTACACCAAAAATAAAAGAAATCGGACCATAAATAACGGAGTTCACTTCTTAGCCATTAGCCTCCCCTTAGCGATATATTTTTGTATGGTTTTTATGGTTGTATTCTCGTTTTATTTGGTCTCATGTGATAGAATGAAAGATATACTACAAAAATAAATATGATTTTAACCCGTAAACGGTCCAAACGTATATATACGTTTTTACCGCTAGTGCCCCAAACGTATATATACGTTTTATGTGTTCTACATTTAACATTGCCACGATAAGCCTGAGTCGCCTAGACATGTGAGAATGGGTGTGAGCACTCACTGTGCACCATATTAAAATAATTGGGGATGCCTGGGTACCATATGCTCTTTTTTCCTATTAAAAAACAACAATGTTTTTTCCCAAAAAATTGGGGGGGAGAAAAAGTTGAACGTATACAGCGGACCCCCGTTAATGATATTTTTTCACTCCATAAGTATGTTCAAGGGGGCCGTACGACCGAATTTTTCCCAAAGGAAATTTGAAGTGATTGTCCATTCAGACCCCCCAAAAATACCTACAAACCACTTACAAAATACTTACAAAATTGGTCGCATTCGGGGGTAACGTTATGGGGGTCCCCCTGCATAACGTTTGGGCCGTTTAGGGTTAATTGGGGTTTCACGATGAAAAACCTTTAAATTTAGCCAAAATGCAAAAGCAAATTTTTTGGCGACATCATGGTAGACATCAGAGGGAGCAGTGGCAGACAACTGAAGGCAGTGGCACCAACATAAGCAACAGTGGAACATCATAGGTAGCGTGGGAGAAAAAGAGCACAGGCAGACATCATGAGGGACAGTGGTAGACAACATGAAGCAGCAGTGGGCCCAAATGTAGCAAAAGTGTAGCAATTAAGTTACATTTAAAATGTAGCAATTAAGTGTAGATTAAAAGTGTACAATTAAGTGTAGCATTAAGAGTGTAGCAATTTAAAAATTAAAAAATTTTTTTAGTGACAATAAGGTGCATTAAAAGGGAATTAATGAGCAAAAGAGTGTGCAAAAACCCGTTAAATCCAAAAATAATGGTTTTTCTGCAAACCCCAAAATATAAAAAATTTTTTTTTCCCCCAAAAAAATTTAATTTTGTCACAAAATGGGTCCAAACTCATTCTTTTATTAAAAAAACTGGGAATGTAAGTGGGGAGAAAGTTTAATGAGGGCCCCTCCCAAACAGGGGGAAACCCTGGGATTTCCTTTCATTTTTTAATCCAAAATTTTAGGGGGAAATATTTTCCCTAATTTTGTCTTTAAATTTTTTCCCCAATTTTATTAAAAAAAAAACTCAAAAAACCCTTTTAAAAAAATTTTAACACCTTTAGGGTGTTTTTTTCCTTTCCCCTTTGGGAAAAAAAGGGGGGGGCCCGGCTAAGGGGAGAGGGCCCCGGTCTTGCCCCCTTGGGGGGGCCCCCGGGGCCCCGGGAAAGGGCCCCCCTTTGGGGCCCCGGGGGCTGGCGCCTGGCTCATCTCCATTGTCGTTGTCCCTCTGTCTCTGTCTAATCTTGTCTCTTTCTATTTATCTGTCTATCCTGTTCATAGTGTAACATTTAAATACAATATATATAGTTAAATTACCTAAGAAACCCAAAAAATCCAGGACAAAGTGCTATACCGCTTGAAGATTTCAGAACGTGATACGAATGCAGTTCTTTGCTCATCTCTTGACACAAGACCCGACAATACGATTTTCCCGGAAACCTGACTGCAACATTAGAAAGGCCATTTTAAATTAAACACGCAAAACCAAATCCCAGGCCCTAATCTTAAATTCTTATCAATGTTATCACGCACCCCCCCCTTTTGAATGCTTCCATCAAAACTAAGCTCCTTACAAATTATATCACTTATTATCAGTTATTCATGACTTGTTTTCCATGTTCAAGGAAATTCTTCTTCTTTTCTTCTCATCCCTCAAATCTCTTCATCTTCCTCTTCCTTTTAAAACCTTCATTCCAATTCCTTTATTCCTCCTCTTCCTCCTCTCCCTAAACTTCTTCTCTCCTCTTCCTCCTCACCTCCCTCTCCTCTTCCTCTTCTCATTCCCTCTTACTCTCTCTTTCAACTCTTCTCCTCTTCATCTTCTTTCCACCTCTACCAACCTCCTCCTCCTTTCCCTCTTCCCCCTTTTCTTCCTCCTCTTAACCTCCTCTTCCTCTCCTCCTTCTCCTCCCTCCTCCTCTTCCTTTCCTTTCCCTTTTCCCCTTTTTTCCTCCTTCACCTCTTCCTCCTCCCTTTTCTTCTTACATCATCACCCCTCCTCTAAAACCCATCATAAATCTTCCTCATTCATCAAACATCTCACCTCATCACCTCCTCTCATCCCCCTCCCCTCTTCCTCCTCCTCTTCCCTTTTCTCTTCCTCCTCCTCCCTCCTCCTCCTCTTCCTCCTTTCCCCCTCCTCTTTCCTCTCCTTTCCCCCTCCTCCTCCCCTTCCTCCCTTCCTCCTTTCCTCCTCCTCCCCCCTTCCTCCCCCCCTCCCTCTCCTCCTCCTTTCTCCCCTCCCCTTTCTTCCCCCCTCCTCCCCCTCCTCTTTCCCCCCCTCCCCCTTTTTCCCCCCCTCCTCCCCTCTTCCCCCTCCTCTTCCTCTTTTTTCCTCCTTCCTCTTCCTCCTTTCCCCTTCCTTCCTCTCCTCTTCCTCTTCCTCTTCCTCCTCCCCCTCCCTTTCCTCTTCCTCCCCCTTTTCCTCTTCCTCCTCCTCTTCTCTTTCTCCCCTCTTCCTCTTCCTCCCCCTCTTCCTCTTCCCCCTCCCCCTCCTCTTCCCCTCTTTCCTCCTCCTCTTCCTCCCCTCCCCCTTTCCCCCTCCTCTTCCTCCCCCTTTCCCCTCTCCTTTCTTCCTCCTCTTCCCCTCCTCTTCTTCTTCCTCCTCCTCCTCCTTCCCTCCCCCTCTTCTCTTTCCTCCTCCTCTTCTTCCTCTTCCTCCTCCCTTCTTCTTCTTCCCCCCCTTCCTCTTCCTCTCCCCTTCTCCTCCTCTTCCTCCTCTTCCTCCTCCTCCTCTTCCTCATCCTCCTCCTCCTCCTCCTCCTCTTCCTCCTCCTCCTCCTCTTCCTCCTCCTCCTCTTTTTCCACCTCCTCTTTTTCCACCTCCTCCTCCTCCTTTTCTCCCTCCTCCTCATTATATACTTCCACATATCCAAAACATTGCTGGGACCTATAAATACTTTGTATATCTTCCAAGACAATAGTAAATGACCAAGGCAGGTGTAAATGTCCACCTGTCAATGTGTTTGACACAGCATCACAAGCCAGCACTATCCTAAACAATGCTAAAAGTCTATCAGTACTTAACTACAACATCAGGTCCTTAAGCAAACACTATGATGACCTCCTGGCACTCCTTGAATCACTAAAGACACCCTTCTGCATTATTCTTACTGAGACCTGGCTTAAGCAGGACACAATAGATATCTACCTTCTACCAGGATACACAGCAATCCACAACTGCAGATCATACCAAGTTGGGGGTGGTATTGCAATCTATTACTCTAACCAATTATCTTGTATTAGCATCACTTGCATAGTGAGAATATGGAGAATACATTTTTGCTAATTTTTAAACTGTAAAAAAAAACCTTAAAATGCCTATAACAATCGGTGCCATTTCCCGGGATACCCCAAACCACAAACATCCCAAATTTCAGTGAGAAATTAAAGGCACTAATAACAAACAACAAATGAATAAGCACCACCTTCCCTTAGCTGGAGACTTCAACATCAACCTTGGCCTACTAGATGATCACCTGTAACTGATTTCATCAACAATAGAACAACACACTTTCTCATACCAACAAAAACTAAACCAACCAGGCTCACTGAAACAAGTGCAACCATAATAGACCACATACGGACCAATATACAGCCCCCCTTTAAATCAGGGATAATCACAGATAGCACTACAGACCACAAACCCTACCTTCCTCTTGACAAACATTAGTAAACCACCACTTGAATACAACAAAGTTTCATTTAGACTCCATGATGAGGCCTCAATAAGGAACTTCACAGCTGACCTAGAGACTGTTGACTGGCCTACAGAATTCTCCAAGGCCAATGGTATTGATGACTAGACAGACATTTTTCTTAACAAATTACTTAGACTATACAACAAACATTGTCCTATAAAAACGAAACAGATCACAAACAAATGGCTTGGTTGCCTATGGCTAACCAGCACCATTCTGAAATCCATTGATAAGAAACACCAATATGAAAAGCAATATAGACAGGGCTTAATACACAAAGACATTCTTAAACACTATTCATCAGTCCTCACCAAAGTAATAAAGAAAGCCAAACAACTATACTACTCCAGTAGATTCACTGACACAAGAGGAGATATAAAAAAGGCCTGGAAAATACTCTCTCAGATTCTAGGGACCCACAAACTGAAAAAAAAAACAAGAATATTGCTCTAACTAAACCTAATGAAACACCACTGCATCCCACTGACACAGCTAACAAGATAAACGACTTCTTCTCAACCCTAGGTTCTAATCTCGCCAAAAAAATCCCACGTACCAATTTCCCATGCCGGACTACCTAGATGGGAATTTCCAAAATTTCCCTTTTATCTTGCTCCAACTGAGCCCCTGGAAGTCACCGAGA